GCTTTGCTTGGCTTTGCTTTGCTTGGCTTTGCTTTGCTTGGCTTTGCTTTGCTTGGCTTGGCTTTGCTTGGCTTGGCTTGGCGTTGCTTGGCTTGGCGTTGCTTGGCTTGGCTTTGCTTGGATTGGCTTTGCTTGGCTTGGCTTTGCTTGGCTTGGCTTTGCTTGGCTTGGCTTTGCTTGCTTGCTTGCTTGCTTGCTTGCTTCTTTGCTTGCTTGCTTCTTTGCTTGCTTGCTTCTTTGCTTGCTTGCTTCTTTGCTTGCTTGCTTCTTTGCTTGCTTGCTTTTTTGCTTGCCTTGCTTCGCCTTGCTTTGCCTTGCTTTGCTTTGCTTTGCCTTGCTTTGCCTTGCTTTGCCTTGCCTTGCCTGCCTTGCCTGCCTTGCCTGCCTTGCCTTGCCTTGCCTTGCCTTGCCTTGCCTTGCCTTGAGAAATGAGAGTCCCACTGTGGGGGGCCGTTGCGATTGTTATGTTTTTGGCAATGTATGCTTAGCTTAGGAACCCTTCGGGTCACCAATGTCCGCACAGCTGTTCACCAGACGTTGGCGTAAGAAGGGACTAAACTTCGCCACGCAACGCACATGTGAAAGCGAAATTCCCAAGCAAGAAAAAGGCTTGAACAGTGGCGCCAACAAAGAATTTTGCAGCACATGGTGGCCTCGCGCACGCGCCTGTTCAGCGGAAGCGTGGAAATGATTAAGGATGAAGTTCCAGCACCACAACATCATGGACATGTGCAGGACAGAAGGGAAGGGATGCAATATTGCTCTCATCACGCTGTCAGCCGACCCTGCCGGATCGACGCGCCAGCTTCGAGCATTTTCGACCGTGGCAATACCCGTAGGGTTTACATGTGGCAACACGTCAGGCCCCTCAAGGGGTTGTTGAATCGTTTTACAGAGCAATGGTTGTGTTTTGATTTTTGATCTTGCTTTAGAGTTGGGCAGGTGATGTGGCCTTTACATATATACATACACCCATACTACCAGGACCGGTGCGGTACAAACGTTATGACGCTATGAACAAACAGGGGGTGAACTCCCCATTTGATAGAGAGATACAAAGGCTTTAAGCCCCCAGCGGGGCCAGATTGCACCAAAAAAAACATAATTCAACCCACCACCAGACACAAACCCTGAGAGATTTGAGGCTGATGGCTTCAAAAGCCCAAGGGAACCCGCCCAACGACAGGTTTATTTAGCGGAAAGCGGGTGGGATTGAAACTGTAATCTCCCACGGTGATCCATCCACACAAAATGGGTAGCAAGACCCCTTAGCAGAATTGCCCTAGGTATACCAAAGCTTTGAACCTTCAAAGTGCCTTCAAACAATTGTGTTTGATGATCGTGTGTGCAAAGTGTTGTCCTCCTTGACACAAGGTGCCAAAACGTAAAAAAAAAACATGCCGCAGGAATTTGCCAAACATCGTTGCTGGCAGTGATCATGGCATGTCGCACGTCCAGTCCACAGGTTGTAAGACCATTAAGGTTGATAAGCCTCGTGGAACGAGGTTGAAGCATCTTACAGAATTGTGTACATCACTGTAAAGGCGCTTCCCCCGCACCCGGAAGCTGTGGCCGCTTGATGTCAGTGATCCATGGTATTGTGAAACATCAACTGGTCAAAGTGGCGAATTTCGTCGAAAACGCCAAAAAAAGTGCTGGCAAGCACTTCTTACGGCTCTCTGTCGCAAAGCGGCAGCCAAAAAACGTAAACGATTGAAGCAACATAAACTATGCACTAGGACTTCGCACCTGCTGTTCTGAGCCAGAAAGGGTCTTTGTTTTGGTGGTTTCAAGCTTTGAGATCCTCATTGGCTTTGAGCCTCTGAGCATGCGCGGCGCTCGAAATGGTCCAACCTATTCAAAGGGCGCCCATAATTTGAAGAGGTAGGTCGCTTGAGAGCGTGTTCTAGGGCCTAGGATGGATTGATCCTTTGGTGTCATAGTCCAGAAAGCATCTTGCCATTTGCAATTGGTGGACTGTTGTCAGCAAGGATTGTGGAGAAAAAGGCGCTAGTGTTTGTATGGTAATTGGCCTCTGCTGGAGTTCCCCCAGGCGGGGCTAACACCTAAACGCATTGGTGATTGGAATTAGACTCCACAATTTGGGGTTTATAATACAACCACCCAGAGTCCCTAGAAGTAGTTGACGGTATTGTTTTCTACTGTAGCCAACGGACGCAAACCTGTAAACGTAAACGCGCGTGAACCCTTGAGCCCGTGTCGCGTAAGCCCGCCTAAACCTGCGTCAGCCGGCGTAAACCCGCATAGACCCGCATAAACCGCGTCAACCGGAGTAAACCCGCGTAGATGTGCGCACACCCGGGAAGGAAGTACCTCCACCAGCAGTGACAGCCGCCGGATCGAAGATCAACACTACATTGGTGTCCCGTTTCACCAGCTCGGACGCTCCCCGCTGGCGCGGGGGAGCTGCCCGCCCTTTCCGACGCTTGTCGTTTAAAAGGGCGAGCGTAACCTGAGCTCTTGCATCGAAGCCGGCAGCCGCTGGAGCGACGAGTCCGTCACTTCCCTCCGACTCCTCGCGCAAGCCCGTGCTCGAGCCGTCCGTGCCGAGTTGAGGTTCTCCCTTTGCTCTCCCCCGACCGGCGGCGCAAGCTGCCATGCAGCCCTTTGCGACAAGCCTCCTTTTGCAACCTTGTCCTCCCTGTGGCTGATTCAACAGCCCAGCTGTGTGGATTCCCCGACAGCCCGCGGGCTGCGCCGCAAGGACCGTTGCGGCGTCACGCTGTTCATTCCCACCCCCTCTGGTGGACCAGGCGCTAATGCCCACCGCCCCCTAATTCGGGATAGCGGGTCTTTTTTTGTCGCCGTGCTCTTGAGATGGGGTGCTTGTCATGGCGCGCAGGGTTGGTGCTATATGGCATATACTGGTCTCCGATTAAGGTTGCGTATGTTATGGTTTCAACATCTGCAAACTTGGAATTCTTGATTGCTTTTGGGTCTGCATGGCATTTTTCATCCACACTGCCCGCTGTCGTGAAGCTCGCTCACGTGCACTCGCAAGTGTCAGTGTTCGGCTTTTTGAACCTTTGATCTTCTGAGGTCCTGGGCCTGAATTGAACCGGACAGAGAGAGAGAGAGAGAGAGAGGGATGCTCATTGCTGCGATAGAGCCAGTTGTCATGGTCTCCGGTGATCTTTTTCCACCATGTTGCTGCCAACCGTTTGAGGTTGCAATCATGGCAGTTACTTGGCTGAATACCAACTGGGTTTGTATTTTTTGGCGTGCACTTGCTGATGTAGTGGTTGGAAGTTCGACTTGAAAGATTCATACCCTCGAACCATACCTCGAAACATACCCTCGAATCATACCCCCGAATCATATCCCTCAAAAAGGCACATGTAAGAACCAGGTGTTGGTGTTAGGGTGAAATTTTTGGTTGGCCTTTGTGCCTTGTAGATGTCCGTGAGCCAATGGTGCATGACGTTTGCAACGGTGTGATCCATGGGCACTCAATTTGGCCAGAATTTTGTGTCTTCTTGTGGGAAGAGCAAAGGCTCACATCCCAGGGGTACTGCTAATGTTCCCATGTGCACTCTTTTGGGAAGAAGGGCCAAAGGACCACCTTGTTTTGCAGAATCTAATGGTCAAACGAATCACACCCAATTCATGCCCGATTCATACCCGAATCACGCACTTCCACACAGTTTCGCACCCATCTCACACCGTGGTTGTTTTGGTGGAGCCAGCAGGAAGCCACTACTGGAGCCTTTGGAGGAAGAGTGCGATTGCCTAGTCTGCCCAGCATTCAATAGATGCTGTTTGTTTACTGCCTCGGCGCAGAGTGGGCCCACTGCTGGAAGTCCAACTAATCCAACAATACAACTTCAAAGGTGCGAATCATCTGCGAATCATACCCTCGAATCATACCCCCGAATCATACCCCGAATCATGCCCTCGAATCATACCACCTATTCAACTTCCCGGCCCGACTACGGTAAAAACATGCACACCCAACTGTGTTGATAGATGCTGGAAAAGTGGGTGGCCTTGTTTTCAACCTAGGCCATGGTGGGGTCTCGGTCTCGCTCTTCGACTCCCGAAACCCACATGCCGTGGCTTGGTTCCATCGCCGCAGCGAAAAGACGGCAGACAGCTACTCGTAGCTCCAGCGCAGCGCAGCCTTGGATGGATTTGGGCGAACTTAGGTACATCAAATTCAATGACTTCCAGGATCCTTGTTTGGACTCCACGACGGCTACTTGGCGAATCCAGCATGGTCATGCAGGTTGGGCCAAACACAAGTGTTTTGGGTGCCAAGGATGGCAGTAAGACTCCTTCTGATCAAGAGCACCCGGCAAGTCGCTTTCTCAGAAAACGGGTTCCAAAAGATCGGCCCCAACGTGCTTGCTCCCTTTGCGATGCCACCTTTTTTTTTAAAGAAAATTGTTTTCATTAGGCATCTCCAACATGAAGTTGGTCTTCGGTCTCTTGGAACGTGGTTTGCCATCGCTGCACCGTGGCTACCGCACTCCTGACCCTTCCCCAACGAGGACTGGCCTGCCCAAATGTTCCTCGTCAGAAATTCACTGCAAATGATAGAGCGGAGCAGGATGAGGTCAAATAGAGCCAACTAGGACACAAACGTATAGGGTAACTTCATGGCTAGTGCCCACCCACAGCCTTCCTGCTGTGTTGAAGGTTCCAGATTTGCCTCTAGCCTAGGTGGTGCTTACCAAGAGTCTCGTGCTTAGCACAATCAAGCTTGCCATAGCTATGTTTCAAGAGAAATTTTGGGACCCACTTGGCTGAGGTTTGTCGAAGAGGACTCATTTTGGAAGTGTCATCGCAAAATTCTCAATTCAGTCAGGGACTCCTATAGTTTGTGCTTAAAAACTCATCATTTCTCGAGCACCTTCGTGCATGCAACAAGGACGTGAACGAGACGCAGGTGCCTTTTACACAGCGTGGGCGGCAGCCAGCCACGAAAAAGGCCAGCCAGCCTTTGGAGCATCAGATGCTTATTGGAGGTTTTAACGCCTAGATTCCTAGATTGTTACCAACAAAGGTTTTGAACGCTTTTGGCCTCCGATGTTGGAATCACACCAGCCACGACTTTGGGAAACCATCTTCTTCATGAAGGAAGACCACAAGCTCACGTGGTAGAACAACAGGTAGTGATGCGGTGGTGGGCTAAGCACGTGCCGTGCAAGGTTAAAAGGATTTGCTGCATTACATTTTCCACGAGTCTTGTAGCACTTCTCACCAGAGTTGGAACCTGATCAAAAGATGCTGTGATCGTTGACGAATGTTTAGCGGCCGATGCAGCCCTATTCAACAAGTGTCTCAAACATGCAAAAAAAGATGCGCACACAAGGGAGCAAAGATAGATAAATGGATGGATGGATGGATGGATAGATAGATAGATACATAGATGCATAGACAAATAGACAAATGGATGGATAGATAGTGAGTTAGTGAGTGAGTTAGTGAACCAGTGAGTGAGTTAGTTAGTTTGTTTGTTAATGCTGTTTGGCTCATATTCCGTCGAGCGCAGGCACATGTGGCCTTCAGGAGTGTGTCTCCGGGCCTCTTGTGAAGCATGCGCCGGAGCGCGCAGAGGCACAAAGCAAGAAACCGCATGCCAAAAACATCTATTGCAGCAGGTGGTAGTTTAATGTGAATGGCCGACAGGTTGGACACGACCTCAGGCCAATATCATTCAGGCCTGCTTCAAGCCAAGTGCAATCAGAACTGTGATCCGTGCAGCCCCTCAAGGAATTGTCACTGAGCAACCACTCAGCTGGAGGATCAAGCACATACATTATGGAAGATCCAATCAAAATGATCCCTCAGAGACAGCAGCGGCAGCAGCACTTCGGAGTACAGCTGGGCTCCCAGCCGCGGATGCCACAGCAGCCAAGCAGGGCCATATCACTGCTCAAACCCCAAAAAAAAAGAAAAAGAGAAAAAGGGAAGGCTCACAGGCCACAAGGTGCCACGTGACACTTGTGGAGGAATTTGACTGGGTGTGATTCCAACCAGTTTTGTCCCTACAGCCATGACATGGGGGGTGGTGACGTCGCGAAGTTCTCACTGGTACATCACCGTGGAGTACTGGAGGTGAGGATGCATGATGTGGTGCCTGAGTTCACGATGATTCAGGATCATGCGTCCGCAGATGAGGCAGTTCAAGGCCATGTGATTAAACATGTCATCAAAATACTCTTCAAGCTCCAGGGAACTGTCCAGTTCTCATGAGAGAGCCATCCATTCCTTGGCACGAGGGGCCTCAGCTGTCAATGGCTTCTCTATTGTCATCGAGCAGCATCGCCGAGCAAACCCTGTCTGGGATCTAGAAGATCCGGTCCGTCTTGACCGGTACACCCGAGGTGGCATGGCCAGGAAACCAGCCCTAGCCAGGCTGCGCACATGCCCAAGTACAGGTTCCACAGGCCTACTAAATCCTGCAGGCTGATCCGGGCTTTGTTTTCTGGAGCGTTTAAAGCAGGAGGGCCGGACTCTCAACTGCAGACATTTGTGAGGGCCGTCTGCAGTCGGCAGGGTGAAGCCTGGCCTGGCATGACAGCTCGGGTGCGCGGCCTTTTCGCGCGAGAGACTGTGCATCAGTCTCAGCCCCCTCAGCCGGGTAGGCCAGGCCTACTTCCACCTTTTTTGCTGGGCCCGTGAGGCCGAAGAGAGAGCCGAAGCGTCCGTATGGCGCAGTGGGGGGGTGTTGCCTCCCTGTTCATCTGCATGGAAGGACCTTGTGCGGTACATGGATGTACATGGATCATTTATTCGGGGACCGGATCCCCATGCATTGGCTACGTTCGTCCGTGAGCATCATGGCCCCACATTGTGGGGCCCCACATGAATATACACTTCGTTGAGTTCTCTCGAAACTGGCATGATCACCCATCGGTGTTTTCGAACACACTACAGAGCACCCCCATGGCCCATGTTGCCGGCGGCGTTCGCCATGGTGTTCGGGGTGGTGGGGCTCGGTCATTTGCAGCGCAGCTTCTTGATTGGGGCCCAACTCTGCCGTGATGATCCTCTAGCCGGTGCTAGCGTGGAAAAACTGGCAGCCGAGACGGCTTTTCGTGGTCCTTGCCAAGGACCATGGGTAGCCCCGACCTCTGCGGCATCTTCAAGCGGCATTTTGATCGAGTTCGTCCTCGGCATGGAGAGGCATTCAGGAGGATGGTTCGCCCCTATTTTGGAGGCGTCCTTGAAGTGGATCAGTTGAGCTCGCAGGGTCTTACATTGGCTGGCCTTGTCCGCCTGACGGACGCAGAACGTTGGCCCTCGGGCTGGCGCCCAAACAGCCCAAACGCCGCTCCGCTACGATTCGCAAAAGCAGCGGCAGGGACACCAGCTGCGTTTGTCAGCAGCTCTCGTGATGCGGGAAGAAGTCAGCAGCTCTACGGCCAAGGTGTGGTGGGCGGAGACTATGGTGGCGGGTCTCCTTTGTGAATATCCCGGGCATGCCGATGGTGAAATCCCTCATGCCTGCATCGGTCACGGCAATTCGAACTGTTGCACTTCGTGAGACGGCTACTACACGTGTCTCCTCATCCTGTATATGGTTACATCCACCGCCATTAGCCGCAGAGCCGCAGGTCAAGCGGCGCCGATTGCCACAGAAGACGGCGGCGCAGTCTGCGCTGGAGCAGGTGGCTCCTGCTCCCTTGGCAATCCACGCCCTTCGGCTCACAAAATTACTGACGAGGTCCACTGTGTCCAGGTCGGTTTTTCGCCTCACGTGCCCATGCCTCACCCAGACTTTGCTCTCTCCTGGGCACAGCTATGTGAGCAGGTATCCAGCTTTCGCCTGATCCGGCGCGTTTGCGTTCAACAGCCCAGCGGCAAGCTGCGGGTGATCGATGATCCGGCTGATGGTGGCCAGAGTGAGGTGAGCCATGACTCCAACATGCTGGACCTATGTACCAGTATTCAGCCGGGCCTTCATGTTCAGTTGGCGAGCGCCTGATGCTTCTCGGGTTGACACGGTGAGCCCATTTGGGTAATGAAGTGTTGAGCTGAGCCCTTCATACTGCCCAAGCCCTGAACCGTGAGGTCATCAAAATACATACTAGCAGCTAGCAAAACAGGATCCCAGTTGACGACACACAGCCTGAAAGAATCGAGGGAAGCGGTAACGGCATTGGGCAACCCAAACAATGAACCAAAATAACGACGAAAACGAGGTTCAGCCTAGGCAACTACCGCCAGATCAGCCTACTCGGGGATCATAGGAATTGGGTAAATAGGGAATCGGCCTCACGTAACGAGCTGACAGATGCAGAGTCAGTCGGACTTCCTCAGTTTTTTTCCTGACGTCAGCCAAGGGCCAATGTCACCTAGGTCGCCCAGTCCGATTTTGGGCACGTGATCGTTTGCTCACTAAGGTCAACGACTTGACAGGAGCGAGCCTGGCTGGCAACAAAGATGAACCCCACATAGACGGCCAGAAGTTCCAACTGCGCAATTTTGGTGGGGTGTTCGGACCATAAGTCGAAGAGCGCCGGTGCGATGTCAACCACGTAGGCATCGCTCTCATCATTGGGGCCAATGAAAGGTAAGCCCGCAGAGCCTTGCCGAGGCTCATCTTGGGCAGCTTTTGAAGCAGCCGATGTCGATTGGCTGAAGTGGTAGTTCACACCCAGGCTTGAGTGCAAGAAGCGATCATGTCAACTGCATGCGCGAGATCATCCGTGAGGTCAACGGCATGAGAGTACTGGCGTTCTTTCAAAGTGTTGAGCCCTGCCCGGCCCAACTTGCCAAAACAGCCAGTGTTGAGAAACCCCAAATAACCAAAGAGTTTTAGCTGCAAGTCCACGTGGTAGTCGACCAATTTGGGTGGCCTCATCCATCAGGGCTGTGACTGTGGACAACATTGCAGCCTTGATGCCCCTGGTCAGGGGACGGAGTAACAATCCGGAGCTTGACACTATGGCTGGATGCATCCATGCTCTCCTTTATGCTTTACGTAGTGGATGTTACTTTGAATGGGCGCAGTCAGCTATTCATGACGAGTGGTATCAGGCACATCATTTTCGTGTCCATCGAGTGCCAGTTCCCTTGCTTTTGTTTCGCCTGCCATACACCATTACGAGCCATGTCTTCAAGTACTTCTGAGTGCTTTGCGTATCTGCTTCTTGGTGCATTTTAACCGTATACCTTGCAGAGGTGTGCGCCAGGGGTGCACTTTAAAGTCGAATCTTCTCAAGCTTGTGTGAAAAAGAGTTTCGTCCGAAGCTGATGCAAAGTTTCCTAGATGGCTTGGCGGATTTGTTGGGCAGCCAGCCTCCGTTTTGTAGCAGCTGTCCGCCGAATGCCACTTCTTTCATGATCTTTGCGGGCAGATGGCCTTTTTCTGTGGCAGCTGTCTGCTGAGTGCCACCATTTCATGCAGCAGTCGGCTTGGCTAAATGCTCCTGGTGATTGAGCACTGATACCACTCTGCAGTGGCAATGCGGTTGCAATTGCTGGTCACTGCATTCTTTTGGTTACATTCTGCAGTGGCAATGTGCGTCCAATTGCTGGTCACTGCATCATTTTGCACAATTTCCACTCCAATCTAATCATTTAGTATCCTCTTGACTAATTGAGTGGAGTATCTATCTGGTATGGGTAGGAGCCGCATACCTTGCAGAGGTATGCGCCAGGTGGGCCACAGTGGCAGGGTCACATTAACCAAAACATTTTAAAGTCGAATCTTCTCAAGCTTGTTCAAAGTGTCCTAGATCAGATTTAAATGCTGCAGCCGAATAAGTATGTATATATATAAATACAATATATATATATATAATACTATATCAACTCTAGTACAGTATCCTATACTGTATAATGCGATTCGTAGAACACATATGACTTCCTTTCAATGGACATTTGCCGCTGTCAGGATCGCTCGCCAAGCCCATCAGCACCATGGCTTCGGTGAATGCCTCGAAGAAGAAGTTGCAACGCATGCCTTTCAGAGGAAACATGGGAAATATTCATAGCCTTAGCCTTCGTGAAGTAGAGCTCTTGCAGTGCAACTTGGTGCGTTTCCTCCGCAAGGCTGCAAACTCCTTCCCCTGAACCAGCCGCTTTGCCAATGCCAATCTTGCCGCAGGCATGGGTTGCCCTTTGAGTTCATGTTCTCGCTTGTCTATTGCTGACAATGAGCCAAGACCGTGTCATCCAGGAATTCATTATGCAGCAAGTCAAGCCACCTGTGGAGCTTCGCAAGACTTACTGGGCAGTACCTTGCCACGGTAAATCTGGTGCGGAATACGGCAATATGGCTTTGTGACCCACGACCATATGCTCGGGCGCGAGCAGTCTCCAACAGTCTGTTGTCAGATGTGTCGGTTGGGCCTGTCACCTGGAACGCGACTCGAACGAATATAGCAAAACGATGTACATCCCTAGCGTTGCAGCCAGAGTGAGGGATTTATTCTTTGCACCATTGAGAAGGCTCAACAACAGAATCGCATTGAAGATGCCAGCGCGCGAGGGAGCAGCCAAAACGAAACACCCCAAGTTTTTGCGTAGACCCCCGCAGGAATAATGTATGTGTTTACTCGCGGCCAAGAAGGTGAGAAAGGAACAGGCGAAGCGAGAGAATGTTTTGAGCAGGCAGCCCAAAGGAAGAACGGCGCATGTAGAGGCCAAGTCCACCCGAGGAAATTTGGGAAACAGACACGTGTCATCCTCTGGAATTTGCTAGGCCAGGTTGAACAGCAGATAAAGAAACTTAATTGTTTTTAGGTCTATTCTGTGTCTATGCTGTGGGCTCTTTTTTTTGGTCTGTCATTTTTGTTTTCGTATTCTGTGTGCATTGAGGATATGGTTGATGGTGGTGACGAGACACCGACTGGGGCCTGGATCTTGGTTTGACAATGTGTCACAGGCGCCGACGCTTCTTGCGAAATTTTGCTCCTACCGTAAGGAGGACGATGGGTCCAAGACTATGCAGCACCCGCTGTGCATCTCCTTTGGGTCTCAAGGCGCATCCCCTTGACCTTCTCCTAAGCGGAGAGCACTGAGCACTGCACGTAGTATCTAGGAAGGTAAAAAGAACGTAAAGTTTAAAAGAAGGCCTTGTTGAAGAGGCCTTTAGACTATTAGAGGAGGCCTGAATTCTTTTCCTTTTGTTGCTTTTGGTGTATATAGTGATGTGCATTCTGTATATGTTCACTTAGTTGCCGCACAGATTGCACTCCAAATTGGAGGTTGTCGCTTTGCTTTACCAGCTTGGTGCGTCGTGCAGGTCACCCTTTCAGCTGCGGGCCGGCATGCAAGTATGCCTCGAAAGGTGAGTCGCCGATACGACCATAAATCGTCGCAAGTTGAAATTCAGCCTTTTCATGGTGAATTTTCGCCTCATAGTTCCAGAAACGGTAAACAATTCTGACGCTTCAAACAGCAGAAACGGCAGAAGCAGTTGAAGCCGTGCAAACGACTAATGTCGATGGGTGAACAAAGTGAGAATTAGGGTGTGTGTGGGGGGGGTGGTCGCACAGAGGCCAATTTGGGAGGGCGAGCCCAGAGCCTGGTGTGGGAGAGCGAAAAAGGAGGTTTGCAGAAATGGGAGTGAAAATATATGGTTTTTGGGGTGTTATGATGCAAGTGATGTAATTGACAAACGAAGAGTGCATCATTAGCATCATGAGGGGCTGAGGAGGCAATGTAAACAGTCTTCTACCAGGGGTGGTAGTTCATGTTGACAATAGGAAAGGGGGGGCAACGCGACGCGAAAAGTGGCTGGAACGAAAGGGAGGTGTGTGTCTCTGGTGGCTACTCAAGTGAAAAAGAGGTGAAAAGGAGGTGTGCGTCTCTCAGTGCACTTTTGTCTTGTGGAATTGATGTGAACTGTGAGGGCAGGAGAGGGAACAGAATGCTGTGGGAAAGGGATTGCAAGAAATGATGTGATCCGTTCAGGGCAGAAAAGGGAACAGAATGCGGTGGGCCAGCTTTGTGTTGCTTGGGGTGCCTTTTTAAGGCACCCCATATGGGTGGCAAGAAATTTTTGAGGTGACCCCTTTTTATGGTGAAGACGACGGTTAATTTTACGCAAAAGGGCACCCCATATGGGGGGGGGAGTTCATGTGGAGGATAGGCATAGCGTTATGTTGGGCGATGGCAGCCATACATGGCCAACCATCAAATAATTTTTTTTTGTGAAAAAAGTGAAAAACAAAATAAAAGCAAATGAAAATGCAAAAACAAAGCAAAAACAAAGCAAAAAACAAAAACAAAGCAAAACAAAAAGCGAAAACAAAAAACGAAAATAAAGCGAACAAAGAGCGAAAATAAAGCGAAAAAAAAGTGAAAAAAAACGACAAATATGTATTTGCTGTACCCTCCTAGGAAAAAAAACGAAAAAAACGAAAAAAAAACAAAAAAAAACGAAAATAAAGCGAAAAAATGCGAAAATAACGCGAAAAAACGTGAAAAAAACGACAAATACGCACAGCTACATTTTTTTGCTTTTTTGTTTGCTTTGCCTTTTGTTTTTTTTTGCTTTGTTTTTGCTTTATAAAACTATTTTGGCTCCTTGTATCTATGGCTGGCGTGCCCGACATAAGCATAGCGGGGGAGGATATGATAGGAAAAGAGGTGGGGAGCTCACTAGGGAAGCGAGAAGGGCGTTGCTCAGCGGCAAGGGAGATGTGCGTCTCCAGGGACTATTAAAGCGGTCTTGTACCAGGGGTGGGGCTTTATGTATTGGACAGGAAACAAGGGGACGTGAAAAGTGGTTGGAAATCTTTCTGACAAGGGATGCGACACTCTGTTTTTTTGTAGCTACTACGAGCGGAAGGGGTATGTGATCCGTTGAGGGCAGGAGAGGGAACAGAATGCAGTGGACCATGGGGGTGCCCTTTTTCTATGGTGAAGAGGCCTGCTAACCAGAAGCAAAAGGGTATCCCATATGGGGTGGTGGGAGTTCGTGGGGAGGAAAGGCATTGCGGGGGAGGATTTGATAAGAAAAGAGGTGAGGAACTCACCAGGGAAGTGAGAAGTGCGTCGCTCAGCACTCTAGAGGGAGCGTGGCTTTTAAAGGATAGGGGAGGGAAGGGGGACAACGTCACGGGAAAAGAGGTCGGAAATACAGCAGGAAAGTGAGATGTGCGTTTCCGAACCATCACAAGTGACTCCGGGGTGCCCAATTTCTCTTCCAAACGCCCTTTCTAGCAAAAGAAAAAGGACACCCCGTCGGCCCCGCCTTATGCCTCCCAAGCTCCCTCGGCGCTCTCGCGTTCACCCCTGTTGACCATATTCACATCTTTTTACGGAGGCTGGTTTTCGCCCCTCCCTTCTCAGGTATATATATATTTGTATAGTATTTTTTGAAGAACATGTAGCTCCCAAAACGTAGTTTCCGAAACATAGTGCGCAACATAGTTCAGGAAACAGGGTTTCCGAGACAGTTTTTCATTGCCAAAGCTGGGGGTCCTTGTCCTGGCTCTTGGGGTGAAGGCTTGCCCAATCAAACCCTAGAGTACGTTCTGCCAAAACGGCAGAGGAGACCCTGAACTTGCACTTGAGAAAACATTCTTTATCAGTAGCTTGCAGGGCAAAGGGTGCAAAGATGGTGCCAACTGTGCAACTTGGCCAGCGGCCCTTTTTCCCATGACGTCGAACCAAGCCACCAGAAAGGATAATTACTTTAAACATTGTGTGTACACATCTCTATGTCAACAAAATGCAGGTGACATTTCCGTGCCATGTTTTCATGCTGTTTTTTGGTTCTATTTTTGGGAGGTCAGCCGGCATCCTTGCATGTGTGCGCGCATGTGACGCCTGCATTGGTTCGCAGATTTGCGCTCAGCTGCTTAGGATCATTGTCACCTCTGCAAGTGGAAGAAGCCGGTGTCAACTACCACGACCCGCCCAGCACGCAATCGTGGGCAGCTGGGTTCTCAGTCCAGCAGATTGTTGTGTGATTCTTGTCGGAGTCAACCAGTTAGACCGAGTCGGACTCCAAGACATAATTTTATTGTGCAGCATAATGTTGATAGTGTTCCCCTTTTTTTGTGGACCAAGAAGCAGCACGCGCATGCTGATCCAAATTGTTTAACTTATCCATGGGCAAGCAATGATCTGCAGGAATCCGCGACAGCGCCGTGCCAAGAAGGAATCCCAGTAAGACGGAAGTGCCTTGGCGGGGCCTTCGAAGTGCAATGTGCCAATGAACCGGGGCCATTTTTGCAACTGACAATCCAGCTGGAAGTAGGAATGACCTTGGTGAGTGGGTGTCATTCATTTCCCCCACCGGTACTTTTGTCTTCAATCATGCCTGTGACGTGGGCTGAAGTGGGCAATGCTGTTGTCTGACTGGCCAAGGCGATCGAGGCTGTCATTTCCCTTCGGCAGAAAGACATGCGTGCCCTGGGGTTAAAGTCTTGAGTTTCAAGATTCGTATTTAGAGTTTGCTAGGGCAATGTTTTTGTTGAACCGAGCACGCCGATCTCAACAGAAAGAGAGTTGGAGCAGACGTCATCGCCATAGCTAGAGCTTCAAAGAGGCTTTTATTTTCCGGGAAGCTCAGAGGTGCAACAATACTCCCAGGTGAATTTGCAAAAAAGAGTTTGTGAAGAGACTTGGAGTCAACAGCTTGCTTGTTGAAGTTGCACCATTTTTTCAAGCCCTAGCTGAGCTACAGGTCATGGTCATGCTGGCATTAGCCCAGCATTCTGTTTTCTAGTTGGTCAGGCACTTTGTTTCCAGAGCATCAGTGTGTTGAAATCACTTTCTAGATTCACATGACGCGAAGATCAGTGAGATTGGTATAACCTGAATTTGGTGTTCGCGGGGAATTCTGAATGAAGCAGGTAAGCTCACCATGAGAGGAAATTGACCGCCTCTACACCCCGACAAGAATCTCATGAATTCATCCATTTGGAGGTGGGGGAAGGGTGTTTACCTGTCACCACTGGACCAACTTTCAAAAGACCATAGGGTGAATAGGGTGTATATACTAGTCACCACAGCGAACTCAGAATGAGCCCAGCTCGAGTTGTTCTTGCGACATAGGTGGGCACCGAATTGGAATGAGTGAAACACTGTGTTTTTCCCCAGATAGCGCAGCTATGGGGTTCTTACTTCAAATAATAGTGAGTTGCCCGTGCGCGCTTTCGAGACAGGTTGCTGGTGCTGGGTGCCGGTGCTGGTGCTGGTGCTGTGAGCTGGCTGTGCACGTGGTGGAGACAGGTTGCTGGTGCTGGTGCCGGGTGCCGGTGCCGGTGCTGGTGCCGGGTGCCGGTGCTGCTGCTGGGTGCCAGGTGCCGGTGCGGTGCTGTGAGCTGGCTGTGCACGTGGTGGAGAGAGGTTGCTGGTGCTGTTGCCGGGTGCCGGTGCTGGTGCTGGGTGCCGGGTGCCAGTGCTGGTGCTGTGGGCTGGCTGTGCACGTGTTGGAGACAGGTTCCTGGTGTTGGTGCCGTGCTGGTGCTGGTGCTGTGCACGTGGTGGAGACTTGCTGGTGCCGGTGCTGCCGGGTGCCGGTGCTGGTGCTGGTGCTGTGAGCTGGCTGTGCACGTGGCGGAGACAGGTTGCTGGTGCTGGTGCCGGGCGGTGGTGCTGGTGGTGGGTGCTGGCTGGTTGCCGGCGCTGGTGCCGGTGCTGTGAGCTGGCTGGCTGTGCACGTGGTGGAGACAGGTTGCTGGTGCTGGGTGTCGGGTGCCGGTGGCTGTGCACGTGGTGGAGACAGGTTGCTGGTGCTGGTGGTGGTGCTGGGCGCTGGGCGCCGGCGCCGGTGCTGGTGCGCACGTGGAGACAGGTTGCTGGTGCTGGTGCTGGTGCCGGGTGCCGGTGCTGGTGCTGGTGCTGGGTGCCGGTGCTGGTGCTGGTGGTGTAGCTTGCATATATGTGGCGATCTTTTTGGCCCAGATAGCGGCTCTTACTTCAAATCGCAATGAGCTGCCTGGGCGCGCTTTCGAGACAGGTTGCCGGTGCTGGTGGGTGGTGGAAACAGGGTGCCGGTGCTGGGTGCCGGTGCCGGGCGCTGGTGCGGGCTGTGGTGCTGGTGCTGGGTGCTGTGAGCTGGCTGCGCGCGTGGTGGAGACACGGTGCCGGTGCTGGGCGCTGGCAGTGCGCATGGTAGAGACAGGGGGCACCGGTGCCGGTGCTGGCAGTGTGCGTGGCGGTGATTGGGCGCCGGTGCTGGGTGGTGGCTGTGCGCGTGGTGGAGACAGGGTGCCGGGTGCTGGTGCTTGGTGCTATACCGGTGGGTGCTGGTTCTGCGCCGTAAGCTGGCGCGCCGGTGCTGGTGCCCGCTTCTGACAGTGAAGTGATAACAACCGCCGCTTCTGTCAGTGAAGGGTAGCAAACCGCCGCTTGCAGCAGTGAAGGGCGACCAAGCGCCGCTGCTGACTGAAGTGCAAGTAGTCATGGGCCGCATGAACTTATGCACGCAACCTCACACGGTGTTGTCGCTTGAGCGTTCTTTGTCTATTAGCGCTGTGGGGTATTTACATCCTTCAGGTTCTGTTTTGGCCGACAGCTGTGTCAAGGGCTGTACTGTTTGCGCGCATACTTTTGTACGTATAATATTCTATGCGTCAGGCTCTCAACCGACCATTGTACCAGCATGTTTCAGCATGCTGCACACACAATAGTCGTGCTGGATACTGCTTGGCCTTGGGTGAGTGAAACCTACGGGCTTTGCCGATTGTGCGCATACTTTTGTGCGCATCAACTTATACGCGCAAGATCATACGGCCTTATCGTTCTGCAGGTCGTTGCTTCAAGCATGCTACAAAGTCAATAGTGGCGCTGGATGCTGCCTGTCCTTGGGCCAATGACACTTGCGGGCTTCGCTGTTTGCGCGCGTGCTTTTGTGCACATAAACATATACGCGCAAGATCATACGTTGTTATTCCCCAAGTAGGGATAGCTATGGGGTTCTTGCTGCAAATAAGAATGAGCTGGCTGCGCGCGCTTTCAAAAGGGTGTCGGTGCTGGTGCTGGTGTTGTGGTCCTGGGTGCTGGTGCTGTGTGCTGGCTGAGCGCGCGTTTAAGACGGGCGGCGGCGCTGGTCGGGTGCTGGTGTCAGCTGATTGTGCGAGGTGTCGTAAGCTGGCTGCGCAGGCTTCGTACATGCTTGTTCCAGCCAGTCGCATGTCAACAGGTCGTGGGATTCTGCCTAGCCTAGCTATCTGGGTCTATGCTGGTGTAATTTCAATAAGGATGGATGTGATTTGATTGCTGCGCAAAGTGAACTGAGGGAGCACATTCGATTGACATCAGCCACCAGGTGCCACAGCAAACCACAGATCGCCACAAAGCATCTCAAATCACCGCAATCACTACAGACCGCCGTGCATCATCACATTCTACACTCTAGATTACGAGAAAGTACCTGCAACCCACCATAGGTTGCCAGAATCAGAAGCCATTGCAGATGACCACAGGTCCAGTGGGTCATAGATGACCAGAAAGTGCGAGATGCCGCACCATCATCATCACCATCACCATCATCATGCATTGCCACAAAGGGTTTCAAACCGCCCCACGTCCACAAATCGCCGCGCATCACCTCACATCAACACGGACCAACACGACTACTTGACCCCACAGATTCAGCTTAGGTCGCCAAAACCGTCCGTAAAGAGCACTTGGGCTCTGGTGTCCGGGAAAACTCTTACTCAGAAGGCTTTTGATGCATTTTCAGGAGGCTCCAGATTCCAATCGCCCAACATCAATGCCTGCCTTGGCACGTCTGTGCTGCTCATGACCTCTAACATTCAGCCAAGTCTTCCTTGGCTTGTATGGCAAATGTCGGATAGGATAATGTAGCCTGGAAGTAGTGCCTGTGGATGTCATTGGTGCGAAGTGCGATCTCCTGCCAATGTGCTCTTTCGCTGTGCGGATGGCATAAACTTGCGAAGGGCACATAGATGAGACGCACTATTAAGATATGTGAAGCTGTGGCATCAGTTTGCATCAGCTCAGCTGCCATCATCTGCGCCGGGTGCCGACGTGTAGTGCCGGCTGGTGTGTCCAGTGCGATCTTCCAACAATGTGCTCTTGTGGACCCGCTCCGCTTTATCAGTTTAGACTCAGACTGCAGTTGCAAGGAGCTGCTGGAGAGTTGCACAGAGCACATCATTTGATGAGACCTAGCTCTCGGATGCTGACCTGTTTTGGCAGTTTCAGCTCCGCTGCCCTCATCCGCACCGGCTGCCGACGTTGCATTGAGCAGTGCGCAGCTTGCTCTCCGCTGAATTGTGTGCCATTTGGAGAACACGTCATGTCAATGTATGGTCATGTGCTATTTAAAGTTACTGTATTTGTTTATCAGAACCTGAGGTTTGAAGATCCCCTCGCTTTGGTTTGTTATGGTTTGTTGCTAGATCGGCGGTCGACCAGTCGTAGGTTGGTAGGTTACTGTAGCAGGTAAGTAGGTAGGTCTGCAAGGAAGCATATATAGGTACAAGTAGACTGGGCAGGAAAATCGGTAGAATTGGTAATGTATATAGTATTGCATATTTGTACATAAAATATTTACTAACAGTTAGCCGGGTGGTTGGCCAGGCTTATTCTTAGTTCCTTCGCCGCTGAGTCGTCCGGCGAGTAAGAAACTGGCGGGCTTTGTGAGCGGATCAAGAACTTTTTGACTGACTTGGGTAACAGCCACAGCAGCACAGTGTCCGTGGCGCACGCGGAAGACTGACATGAGCTGTCAACGGTTGTCCAAGTTTCACCCGAGACTCGGGGCCGATTCGATTTTTCCCGAGTGTGAGGCGAGATGAGACGGAGCAAGTCATTTTGTTGCTTTTTTAAAGCACATTTGTAGGCGCGGTTGTTTTCGCAAGTCATTTCATACAATGAAATCGACCCCGCAGCCAGAAGGCCGACGCAGCTTTGTTTGACGGATATTGCACTGCCCCCATCCAGATGATGTGGAGCATCGCTTGGAAGTGGGAAGCGTTGCGCAAGGCAGATCGAGTGGGAACTGTGTGAGGGTATTGGAAATTACAGGAATACAAGAAAGTAAGGCCTTTGGTCGTTTTACTGCTTGACAGTCGGTTTATTGACAGTTCAGTGCCTTCATTCCAAACTCAGAGCATCATCATCATCATCATCATCATCCAATCCGACATTTTATAACATGTTATGCACGCACAATAATAACATTCGGTCTTTGCTAGAGGGGAAAAGATGCGACTTGGATTCACTCACAGAGGCCATGAAAAACGCGGCCGCAAGCTCACTAAGGATAGAACCTCCGAATAAAACGAAAAAAATTATCCGTCAAAATACTTGGGCAAAAATTGAAGAGAGAAACGAAAAGGCCCGAAACGGAACCACAGCAAAGGAAATAACGAACCTCAACAGGGAAATTGCCCGAATGGCCCGGAGGGACAGGCAAGACCATTTGATAGAACAATTCAATGAGAACCCCCAAGATCCCAATAAGAAAGGTTTATGGAGAGCAGTTAAGGGATTAAAAAAGAAATTCATACCCAATTATGTGGAAATGAAGAACATGGATGGTCAGCATGTCCCTTTGGCCCAACGCGCTGAGACTATAGCGAACTATCTAGAACAAAAACACTGGAGCAACCAAGCTGAAAACGAAATCAACCACAGCAAACTTGTAGATAGCAACGATGCAGGAGTAGAGAGTTTCACAATACAAGAGCTCTGTGCAGCCATCAAGGCGGCAAAGCCCAATAAACAACCTGGCCCTGATGGTCTAACTATGGAACTGATCAAGTGGCTGGACAATGCCAACCGGCGGGTTCTTTTATCTGTTATCAACAGCTGGTGGAATACAAAAACTGCGCCGTCGGCATTGTTCATGGCCCGTGTTGGCCCTATCTTCAAGAAAGGGGATACAGATATTGCTTCCAATTACAGACCAATCTCCTTACTCAACAGTTTCTATATAATATACATGGTGATGATCAGGACCAGAATGCAGGCAGCCACAGAGCA